ACAATGAAAATAAAGTTTTTCTATATTATTTTTTCATAATGTTTAAGATTTTCTTTGGTGAAATTTGAACTTGAACCGAAGATATATCTTTTGGATAATCGTCCGTCGCCTTAGACACTACGCCAATTCCTCACTTGATAAAAAGTGCTTTACATTGCCCATTTAAAGTTTAAGGAAGAAAAATCTTAGAGTTTGTTCGCGTTTTAAGCCGCAAAATATAGACAAAACCGTTTAGCGTATAAATAATGTAAGAGAGACCGGCACGATAATTCGAAATTAATTTTCTACCAAGAACTGTATAGAACATTATTGCAATAAAACAGCAGATAATGACATTTTTCCATCATGCTAATAAAATACTTTTACATGTGCGAATTAATTTGGTCAATCGTCCTGTTCAGATTGTATTAAGTTTTATCAAAATTGAAACATGATATATTTTCAAATAAACCATCACAAAAATTCTGTAAAAGTTATTTACATAGCGAGACTAATATTTTATTCGGTGCTGCTGCCTTCAGTACTTATTGCATGACGATTAAATCGTTCAGATTTAATGACATAATAATATTTAAAAAAATAATAAAATGAGAAATTGTATGAAAAATTATGAGAACAATTTTTACTAGGGATGGCATATGTACGCCTTTAAATGGCTATCTAACCATTGTACTATTTTATACTTCTACTCGTTATTTCTCTATTATTGTTATTATTTTTTATCAGAAATGTGTAATACCATTTTAAAAAGTAAAAATTGTTTTTTATTGTTATATGTGTACAATTATATGTGTACAATTATTGCACTATATAATTATCTTGACTTCTCTCGAAGTTTTACATGGTGTGTATGTAAAGCTGCCTCATTTAATAGCGTACATATGGCCCTTGATATAATTAAATAGCCTATCTAGGAAACAAAATATGTGCGCAATCTGCTGTCAGTCTGTCGTCAGAGTCTGTCGACAGGCTTTGCACGCTCTGCAGTCTGTCACCAATCTGTCGTCAGAACAGATTCTGCATGCAATCTGTTGCCATTTTGTCTACAGACACTGTTGACAAACTCTGCGCAAAATCTGCTCACGCAGGTTTGGCTATCTGGGAATGTTTTATGAATACATCTCTGACTTCTCCTTTATTATATGAAATATTTCATGTACAAATAGTTTATTTTGTGATTATACTAAATAATATTATAAGAAAACTATAATTAATACTTCGGCTACACATATGGGGATAATA